ATACAAGTGATTAAAACATGGATTGATCCTCACAAGTCTTCTAGAGTGTCTAGTGAAATACATGTTGGAGCCATATAACATCAGGGAACTTTAGCTAGAAGACCACCAGATTCATTATAGCTTCCAGGAGGGTCAGTTCTTGGTTGATAGCTAGAGCAAACCACTGACCTGCACAGGTTATTTGGGGTGATATATAGATATCTCCATGAAGTATCAGCATCTTCTTAGGTGGTTTGCAAGTCCACTTTGGTAGCTTTCACTTCTTCTGGGTAACAGTTGGTGGCTTAGATGGCAGTATGAGTCATGAGAGATGGGATAAAAAGAATTTATAGTAGGAGAACAGGGAATGAAGGGGACTTTTGGACCGGAATTCCAAAGTAGTTAGCAAGGTTCTGACCGACAAAGGTTGGCAATTTATTTCTGACTGATGTTATAGGGATGGTAAATGGCAGAAATGTGGATCTTGACTTGCAGCTGAGACAAGAGGGCCAACTAGAAGGGAGAAATGAATCATTATTGTAAATGGTGACCCCAAATAGGCTATGTCTGTAGATGTATGTCCCTTTCTGTAGCTCTAATCCCACACTGCCACATTGTAGTCCCACTCTGGCCTCATTGTAGACCACAGAGACCTGTTATAACATGGTTTCCTATGTTGTACATTATCTAGGGGTCACCAGTAATCTTAGCTTACTATGAGGGAGAGTCTTCATAGCCCTAAATTACTAGCTACCAAGCCACTACGACAGAGTGGCAAGCATTTGGATCACTCTCACTCCCTTCTTGTGAGGTACACAGTGGAGATGGATTCCACTTCCAGGGAGAGAGTATGATCCTCACACAAAGAGACTGGAACCATTTGAGTGAAAGCATCTGACTGACGCTGTTGCCACATCAATGGTACCATCTCTGACTATGTAAAGGTGATTTTAGGCTTCCTGGATGAATGAGTGAATGAATGAATGAAAAAGCATTTATTAAGCACTCATTATATTCCAAGAACTATAAGCAGGGATACGAAATTAAGAGAATCCCTGCCCTCAAGGAACTTGTCTTCTAAGAATGCTGAAAATTGTCTAGAGTGGAGAGAACAGTTTCCTCCATATATGGCAGCAAACCTGAGAATTCTCTCTCACTAGGACACAGTAGATCTGTAAATAATAATAGTAATAATAGCATTTATATAGCTCTTTAAGGTTTGTAAAATACTTTAGAAATATTATCTCATTTTATCCTAACAACAACCTTGGAAGGTAGGTAATAGTGGTTAGGTGTAACTTAGTATCTGGATTATCCTCATTTTATCGATGAGGAAACTGAGGCTGAGAGGTTAAGTGACTTGCCCAGGGTCATACAACTAGTAAATGTCTGAGGCTGAATTTGAACTCAGGTGTTCCCTCTATCCACAGTTCTCCCTAGCTACCCTGTTGAGTAAGTACTGATCTGCATTGGTCAATCAATCAGTCAACAAACATTTATTGGCAGTAATAGCTAACATGTATATAGTGCTTTAAAGTTTGCCAAGGAAATATATTTTGCTTGACTCCATTTGTATAATGGGCATCGTATTTCCAAATCCAATCCAATAAACATTTATTAAGTGCCTTTGAGTCAGGCACAGTGTTAAGCACTGGAGACACAATTAAGAAAATAAAAGATAGGCCCTGCCCTCAAGGAGTTTACAATCTCAAGGGCAGGAAAGGAGGAAGATGTTGGGAGAGAGGAATATCAGGGGATATCCCTTGGTGGAGCAGCAGATTCAGAGTAGAGTGAACTCCAAAAGTCTAGTTTCTGCCTCTATAAAGGAAGGCATTGCTTTTTCAGTGAGTAGGGGAAAGGGTAGAGAGGGGGAAAGAATTTGAAACTGAAAAAATAAGATAAAATTGAATAATATTTTTTAGAAAGTTTACAAAGCATTTTACATGTGTTAACTCATTTGATCCTCACAACGATCCTGTGAGGTGGTTTCTATGGTTTATTCTCACCTTACAGATAAGGAAATTGAAGCACAAACACCTAAAGGACTTGCCCAGGATCACATAGCTAATAATTGTCCCGAGGCAGGATTCAAACTCAGGTTTTCCTTACTGTAAGCCCTGTACTCTACCCACTGTACCACCTAGGTGCCTAGTAAAGGGTGAAGTTCCTCCTCAGAAATTCGCTACACTCATGACCTTGAACAGGTCAGATTAAAAAAAAAATGGTATGCCAGATAGCATAGCAGGCACTGGGGAGTACACATGCTAAAACAAAAATAACCCCTGCCCTCAAGGAGCTTGCATTTGAATAGGGAGCTATAACTCTTAAAAAACAGCAGAGACCAGGAAAGAGAGTTTGGGTTTCCAGGGAGTTAATGGATCTATGGAGCACTTGACTGTCAAACCATTTGCATATGCAATAGTGGTATTAATTTGAATATTGTTTCTAGAAGAAGAGCCAGAAGCTAGATGGATGGCAAGGAACTCCCTGGAGTTACAGAAAGGCAGGATACAACTGGAAGACTGGACAGCTACTTTGTTCTCAGTTATTTGCTACCACAAAAAGTGCTGATGTGAATATTTGGGACTATATGGAATCTTTCTCACTGTCTTTGACTTCCTTGGGATATATGCCTAGGAGTAGGAAATGTACATCAAATGTAGGTCAAAGCCATTTTTTTGTGTGTGCACAATTCTAAATTGTTTTCCAGAATGTTTGAACCAATTCATAACACCACTACCAACTCATTGCCCCACCAACATCGACTATTCTAGACCTTTTTCATCTTTACCAATTTGTTGTGAGGTGAAACCTGAAAGTTGTTTTGTTTGCATTTTTGGTTTTTTAGTGATTTGGAAAAATCCAAAGAGTAAGGATGGAAACTGGACCTGTGATTCCACTGATACAGGTAACTTCCAGACAAGGAAATGCCCTCTCCCAATGTAGTTCCATACTTCTGAAATTGTCTCAGAGAATTAAGGGACTTCCCTAGGGTCACATAAGCTGAATAGGTTAGAGGCAGACCTTGAGCCCAGATTATCCTAGCTCCAAGGCCAGCTGTCTACCCACCATATGGCACTACCTTTAATGGTTGTTAATGGCTTGGATTTGTTCTTCTGAGAACTGCTTGTTCATATCCTTTGACTACTCCTCCATGGAAAATGGCTCCTGGTCTTATATATTTGTGTGAGTTCCTTTCTTTAAGATTCCTTTTAGTTCTCTTCTTTGGATGGACCTACACTTTGCAACTAGTCCTATACTCCAAATTATTCCCCTAGCATTTTTTTTGCTCAACATTGCTGAATTTCATAACTTTGTCCTGCAGTTCTCTTTGGGTAGTCATATTGTTCTTTACTTGATACTGACTCTTCTTCCAAATAGGCTATCTTCTAATTTGACAGAAGAAAAGGCACTTACTCCCTGCTATCTCAAGTCTGTGGATACACTTAAAATACCGTGTTCTGCCAATCTCCCTTCCCATGCCAAGGGTAGACAAGACTTCCTCTTCTTTTTCTTCTCATAGCTAGTCCTAGAATAAGCTATTTTTTTTCTGTGTCTGGAATAGTTTCCCTCAGGGAAAGAATGGAACCTGGTTCCTCTCAGCTTATCTTGTAAACCTAAGAGTAGTTTTTCTTCTTAAAAGCAGCCAGAAGCTATACTCATGACTAAAATGCTAACTTTACCCTCTGGATTCTCCAGCATCCTTCTTCAGAGAAATGCAAAGTACATAAAATCATAGCCTGTCTTTAGAGAACCATATTTTCTGAAGCTGATTAGAAGCTTGTCGATTAAAACTCAAAAGTACCTCATAGACTACACAACTAAACATAACCCTACAACACATTTTGGAACACTATAATGTTTTTTAATAGGTACTAATACAGTTTATTCTATTCCACACATGAAGATATTAGTGTCTGAATATGAAAACAAGACAACACAATCAACAATTTTTTCACCATATATCTGTGCCCTCGGCTTACTGTCTCCGCGTCTAGGGTAGTTAAAGTCACTGAAAACCCTTCACTGACTTTGATTAAAGGCTTCTAGGAAAATTTGACAGAAAAAAATAGTTTACTAACTAGAAATCAGTCTATATTTGTGACAGAAGGTCCCTCTTTGAGGAATTGAGTGAGAGTGGAAATGGGAATTGTGGGCCAGAGAAGAGAGGCACATGAGAGGAATACAAGGACAAGTATTACCAAGTCCTAGCGCCATTTCCTGATGATATGATCTTGAATGTTACAAGTCATTGTTGTTCTAATCCACTAATAGGGGCCAAGGGTATTAAATTTAGCTCAACTTCAAGCTCCATGAGAATGGAGACCATGTCTTATCTTAAACATCTTTAAGTTCCTAGTATAGGACTCTGCACATAGTAGGAATTTAATAAATATTTGTTGGATTGACTCAATGGCTTTCCGCTCTCATTTCTCAAGAACAAGAGTAACAAGGGCAAATTCCAGTCTAATTGTGTTGGAGTGACTGCACGCTGTCCTGGGAGACTTCATAGGTTACCCTTTTTTCATTCTTACCTTCTAATTAGAATGAACCTTTTTGTAACTAAACATCAGAATTCCTAAGCTGAAAAGTGATCCTATATGAAGCTAGTAAAGAAAAAAAAAAGACTGAATCATATATAATCAGGAGAGAAAACAGAATTCTTGCTATCACAAAAACTTTTCTAGAGTTGAGCCCTCTAAAATGTGTGTGCTTGTAGACATTATACCGGGGGTTTCAGAAGTATTGTAAGGTGGTTTCATCTACAAGACAATCCCAATGTCACAGTCACAGTAACTGTGTTAGAAGAAAATGTTTCTGCATGTTTTCTTTTTGTTGTTTCTTCCTAATGCACACAGTTCTACAAAACTTTCAGCTCTGTAGTTGGAGTGGTTCATTTGTGTAGCATGACTTCTGATGCTGTTGCATATTTCACTAGGATTTTACTACATCATCCATTTGTTCCTTTCACCTTGTTCAAAATGGACTTAATGACTATGGTGTATTTAAAAAAGATGATGGAGATGGAAATAACATTTTATTTCACCAATTCCCTGTTATTCTTCATCCTATTGTTCCAAGATCTTTTACATACAAAATGTTGACTAATTTTCTGTGATGTTCTTTAGGTTGCTTTCATTTTTTTCCCTCTCCAGACTTCCTTAGTTAAATTGCAATATTCTGATTCTGCTTTAGTCTCCAGATAAAAGTGGGATCTGAGGGACCAGTACCCAGAATCAAACCTTGACAATGTGTAGCCTTAAATCTAGAGCATAGACCCTACAAGAAGGTATATATAACCTCTATCAATCATTAATTGCTCACTGGGAACTTCTTTTATTCATACTTGTTGAGATAGCTGGGGGTCTACTCCTCCTCCACTGCCTATGAATGTTAAGAGCCCTGACAAAGATTTCGGCTCTATATGAGGGCCTAACATTGTAGAGAAAGTATAAGGAATTTCATTAATTTTGAGATTTGACACTGTTCCTATCAAGTCTATGAACCACATCAAAGGCTGTTAAAAACTCATTAAAGTCAATACTGCCATCTTTGTTGAGATCCATGCTGTTAGCCAATTGGTCAACATGAGCATCTTCAATGTCAATGTTATAGTGAGAAGAAAAAAGTTTCCACATGGCACGGAATTCATCCATGGAGATCAGACCTGGGGAGAAAGAAAAAGGATGTGAATTCTCACGTAATGACCCACCACAGGAACAAGCAAGACTTGCACTTTATCATGAAACAAGTGGAGCCAAGTAACAGCTTTACCACATTTCTCACCAACTAACAAATTATGAAGTTCAGGAAAGGGGAAGAGTAATGGAGATCCAGAAAAGTAAAAAAAACCAGCATGGCATTTATAACAGCCAAGTGAAAACTAGTGCTAGGAAAAAATAGAGGTAGGCAAATAAAGAAGCAGTGCTATTTGTTTGATTCTGTCATCAGAGTGGGTATTATGGGACAGTGAGTGGTATGAAAATTATAGGAAAATCTGGAACTTAGGAGAAGGGTTTGGATGAAGTAAAAAGTCTACCATATAGTACTCAGTCACAAAGGTCTGACCTGGGAAGTGACTCCCCATAACTGCAAACAATGAATCTACTCCAGCAATAATTACTTTCAACATGTTGGGTAAATAATTATTCAGTGTTGATAAACTATGTCTACAACATTGATATTGCTGATGGGTGAGGATTGGTTGTCATGAATGGTTTATTTTTATTATTGTTATTTTAAAGTAATTTATTTGTTTTTAGGCACATCCAAAGTTCAGTTGAGTGACTAGGGCTGCCTATCCTCTTCTCCAAAATAAAATTCAAATTCTAGGAATAAACAAGTTCAGAGAAGAAATTTAAAAGGGAGTAAATTTGCTAATCTTGACAGGCTACAGGGGTATAACATTATATACACTGTCAGACATAGTCAATGCATTTTGCTTTGCTGTTTTTCTTTGTTTTAAGGAGATATAATTTGAGGGAAGGGGTGCTGACTCTATCCCTACATGACTAGTATAAACGAAAAAGCCACAATACAATTTATTTTTAAAAATTTAAAGGGAATGACTACTTTCGCTGAGATGTCACCTGCCATTCATGCTGGCAGCTCTTCAAAGGATTTTTCAAAGTCTAGCTAATATATATAGACTGAGGCACGGGTGGGCTCTCTAGGTCCTCAAGTGGGGCCCTTTGACTGAATCCAAACTTCACAGTACAAATCCCCTTAGCAAAAGGATTTATTCTGTAAAATTTGGACTCAGTCAAAAGGCTGCGCCCAAGGACCTAAAAGGCCACATGTTCCCCACTCCTGGACTAAGAACTATCTTTGGTTTCTGAATCACTGGCCTAACCAAAATTATTTTTAAGAGCAACAAAAGATTGCCATATCTATGTTTTACATTTTAATATGCTGAATTATGTTTAGCAGAAAACAGCAATAGGTGAAAAGATGAGAAGTTTTGTTTCTGAAAAACAGGCTAGCTTTGTTTTCCTCTGCCACAGAATCATTGTAATAAAAGTAATTGATTTACCTGATTGATCTCTATCAATGATGTTGAATATGATCTTCAAGTCAGATCTGTATCTGACCAGGGTTTCTATCGTCGCTGATTTAGCCTAAAACAAGCATTTTCTAAGTTAGTTTTGTGTAAATAAAAGCACTTCAGACAAGCATCAATACGGACAAAGCTAGGGATGTCATCAGAGCAGGGAATTCTTGAACGTGAAAGTTCTATCACTGCAGGTCAGCACTTTCTCTGGGCTAAGAAGTCAAGTGATTTTTTCTAGAGTCAACCAGTATGTATCAGAAGTGGGACTTCAATCTAGTCTTTCTGGAGCTCTGAGGTGAGCTCTCTAAGCATGATGCTGCCTTGCATCATTATTATCAATGATATTTCAATCATATTATCTTCTAGTAACACCACTGTTAGACACCTCTTTCCCTGCTTCCTCACAATTCCATAAAGAACATTTTTGATATTTCATATAATTTCCATAGGCACAAGGAAGGCACATCTCCTTTTCTATTTAGCACTATATACAATTTCAAAAGTATCATAAAGTGGTTGTACTCCAAACCCTTATTTTTATAAGTGAGGAAACTGAGGCCCAGAGAGGTAAAGTCACTTGCACAAGACGACAAAGTGGTCAAACTGGGATTCAAACCTATATGCCCTGACTCCAAATCTAGAGTCTTTACAATAGAATATGTCAAGCACCTGAAATTTTGTCATTGTGGTAATCTCTTCTACAAAAATGACTGCAATACAATTTAGTAAATAAGTAAATTTTAATGATAAATTTTACTGAGTTGCCTGAGGGTCAGATGGGTTAAGTGATTTGCCTATGGTCACATAGCTAGCAGGTACCATAAGTGATACTTCAACTCAAGTCTTCTCAATTCTAGGTTCAGTATTTTATTCACCATTCTAGGTTTCCTTATTTCTTTTTTGTTTGTTTTTTGTTTGGTTGGTTTTGGCAATGGGGTTAAGTGACTTGCCCAAGGTCTCACAGCTAGTAAGTGTTATGTGTCTGAGGCTGGATTTGAACTCAGGTCCTCCTGAATCCAGGCAGGGCAGGTGCCCTATCCACTGTGCCACCTAGCTGCCCCGGTTTCCTTATTTCTTGAATAGCATAACCAATTATACATTCCCAATTTGCTTTGGAAGCCAGTAGTTTTTTTGAGAACAGGATGTAACTCTTTTCCTTAGAGCATCATACTCTCAGCCACTCTCTGTCCTACCCATCACTCATCCCCAAACTTGGAAAGAATCAAATCATTTAGTTGTTTCAACCCTACAGAGAAGGGGCTTCATTCCCTGAAAGATTAAGATAGAACATCATGCTTCTTACCTCTTGTGGAGCCTTTACGACAGGCATATCCTTAAAACCCATTTCATAAAGAACATATCCATTTTCAATCATTTTGACCACTCGAGGGCACAAAGATAACCATGGCAGAGACAATTCTAAAACTTCTTCTGTAGCCTTTGCCCAGTCACGGACAGAAATCTTTCCTAAAAAGAAGAGCCATGACATAATTATAATTTAGCAATAAAAGAATGATATTAGTTGACATTTACATAGCATTTTAGGTTTGCAAAGTACTTTATACTCACTTGAGCTTCACAACAACAATATTATGAGGTAGGTACTATAGCTACTACTGTTCCCCTTTTATTGATGAGGAAACTGAGCCAGATGAAGTGGCTGGGTTATGGTCACACAGCTATTAGGTGTCAGAGGAAATTGAGACAAGCCAAGTGACTAGCCCATGGTGATACATTTGGTAATCAATCAATCAATAAGCTTTTACTAAGTGCCCACTATATGCTAGGGACTGGTGATACAAAGATGAAAAAAAGACCCTGCCCTCAAGGATCATACATTCAAGGAAACAAGGCAAAGTGTACATGTGTTAACTCTGGGTCACTCCAGGACATGGAGAATTACACACTGAAGAACAAAGTTCTGCTGATGGACTAGAAGAATTCTTTGGCATGTCAGGACTCATGGACTGCAGAGAAGTTCTCCTTAAATAGAACAGTGCTTCCCCCCCCCCCCGCCTTGGAAGGAATAGAAAGACTCTCCCAAGAGAGGAGGGATATGTGCCCAGGGACATTGGGGTGGGGTAAAATCATGGAAGAACACAAGATTGGATCATGAGTGAGAGGAGCTTCCCATGGTCAAATTGATTGTAAATACAGTAGACTGTGAAAAATGAGGCCAAGACCTAGAAGGTGGCAACTGTGGTTGAAATGCCACTGGATGGCCACAGTTATTATCTCTGACTACTACAGTCAGATAAAACTTTCCAGGAGCCAAGACAAGAAGCAAATATGATTGTTATTGAAATTTCTCCTGCCAGATGACTGATTATGATGGGGCATTTTCATGCCCCTACTCTGCTTTTTCCTACCTAAAGAGAAAGCAGTCCCAAGTTTTACTGTTCTTTAAAGTTACTTCATAAATTTTGTATAATTAGTTCTGTATTTGTCAGCCTTATAAAGGAATCAATCATAACTTCTGCTCTGTTTATTTCATTATTTGTAAATTGGCAGTTACAAAAAGAGAGAAACTATGAATAGTATATGAGATAAAGTGAAAAGGATAGAAATTCTGATTCTCTGTTTAAATTATTGATGGGGGGAAGTGGAGAAAGACTGAATTTTTTCTCCTACCTTTCCTTTCCCCATAGAGTACTCAGGAACTCTTAAAAGAGTGTTATTGATATTGATTTTTTAAATATTTTATATTTTTTATTTATATATTTAAAATATTTTGTAAATATCCAAAAGCAGAATCTGCATGAGTACCTTCTCCCTTAGGTGAAAATGATCTAGTCACAATTGTCTTGTGGGAGGCTGGTTGATGTAGAATTGCACTGCCTTCTCTTCTCTGTAGGGAGTGGTGCCTAAAATAGGCCTTGCATAGTGTGAGGAGAAAATGTATGAGTGGAAAAGACATGTGAATGTGACAGGGATGAACTCATCAATAAAACAGAAAGCAGAATAGATTAGAAACCAGAATCCAAAAATATGTTGCTTACCAAGAAATACACTTGAAATAGAGACACACATAGAGAATAAAAATCAGAGGCTGGAGCAGAATCTATCATGATTCAACTGAGGTTAAAAATAAAAAAGCAGGAGTAGCAATTGCGATCTCAGAGAAAGTAAAAGCAATAATAGACCTAATTAAAAGAAATTAGCAGAAAAACTATGTTTTGCTAAAGGGTACTATAGATGATAAAGTAATATCAATACTTGTATCAACACAAATATAGATGTACAAGCATCAAATGGCATAGTATCCAAATTATTAAAGGAAAAGTTAAATTACTTACAGGAAAATAAATAGACAATAAAATTATACTAGTGGTAAACCTCAACAATCCCCTCTCAGAACTAGATAAATCTAACCATAGAATAAATTTTTTAAAAGTTAAGGAGGTGAATAGAATTTTAGAAACATTAGATATGATAGACCTCTGGAAAAAAATTGAATGGGAATAAAAAGGAGTATACCTTCTTATTAGCTGTTTATGGAACCTTCACAAAAATCAGTCATGTATTAGGGCATAAAAGCCCCACAAACAAATGCAGAAAAACAGAAATATTAAATACATCTTTTCCAGACCATAATGCAATAAAATTATATTCAATAAAGGGCTGTGGAAATACATATATTAAAAATTAATTGGAAACTAAATAATCCAGTTCTAAAGAATGCGTGGGTCAAAGAACAAATGATAGAAACATTTGTTTTATTAAAGTGAATGACAACAACGAGACAACGTAATAAAATTTTTGGGATGCAGCCAGAAGCAGTACTTAGGGGAATTTGTATATCTCTAAATGCTTTCATCAATAAAATAGAGAAACAGCAGATCAATGATTTAGACATGCAATTATAAATACTAGAAAGAAGAACAAATTTAAAATCTCCAATTAAACGCTAAAATGGAGTTATTTTGCCTAATTACATTCCAGTAAAACTAACAATCTAAGGGAAAGAGATGAATATTTACAAAAACATAAGCTGCCCAGATTAACAGAAGAGGAAATAATATACTTAAATAACCGTATCTTAGAAAAAGAAATTTGAACAAGACACAAATGAGCTCCCTAAGAAAAAATCCCTAGGACCAAATGGATTCACAAGTGAATTCTACCAAACATTTAAAGAATAATTAATTCCAATACTATGTAAACTATCTGAGATAATGGGCAAAGAAGAAGTCCTACCAATTCTTTTTATGACACAAATACAGTGCTGATACCTAAAACAGAAAAAGTATTAAAAAAGAGAAAGAAAACTATAGACCAATTTCTCTAATGAATATTGATGCAAACATTTTAAATAAAATACTAGCAAGGAGATTATAGCAACATACCATAAGGATCATACGCTATGACCAAGTGGGATTTATACCAGGAATGCAGGGCTGGTTCTATATTAAGAAAACTATCAGCATAATTAACCATATCAATAATAAACACAACAAAAATCATGATTGTCTCAATAGATGCATAAAAACTTTTTTTATAAATTACAACACTCATTTCTATTAAAAAATACTAGAAAGCACACTGTTCCACAGAATAAGTAGAGCTTTCTATGTAGTAACTATTTAAAACCATCAACAAACATTATCTTTAATGGGGATAAGGTCTTCCTTATATAATGGGAATAAGCTAGAAGCATTCCCAATAAGATCAGGGGTGAAACAAGGATGCCCATTGTTACCACTATTATTCAATATTGTACAAGAAATGCTAGCTATAGCAACAAGAGAAGGGAAAAATTGAAGAAATTAGAATAGGCAATGAGGAAAAAAAAGATTGCTCCTTACAGATGCTATGATGGTATAGTTAGAAAATCACAGAGAAGCAACTAAAAAAGCAAGTTGAAATAAATAATTTCAGCAAAGTTGCAAGATATAAAATAAACCCACATAAATCATTAGCCTTTCTATTTATTACCAACAAAGTCCAGCAGGAAGAGACAAAAGGAGAAATTCCATTTAAAATAGCTATATGGGAGTAGCTAGGTGGTGCAGTGAATAGACCACCGGGCCTGGAGTCAGGAGGACCTGGGTTCAAATCCAGCCTCAGACACTGGATGCTTACTAGCTGTGTGACCCTGGGTAAGTCACTTAATCCCAATAAAATAAAATAACTGCAGACAGTATAAAACACTTGGGAGTCTACTTGCCAAGATAAACCCAGGAACTATATGAACACAATTATAAAACACTTTTCACGTAAATAAAGATAGATCTAAACAATTGGGAAAATATTAATTGCTCATGGATAAGCCAAGTCAATATTATAAAAGTGACAATTCTACCTAAATTATTGTACTTATTCAGTGCCATACTAATCAAGCTACCAAAAATATTTTATAGAACTAGAAAAAGTAATAATTCATCTGAAAAAGCAAAAGGTCAAGAATATCAAGAGAATCAATGAAAAAAGTGTGAAGGAAGGCAGCCTAGCAGTACCAGATCTCAAACTGTATTGCAAAGCAATAATCATCAAAATAGTCTTGTACTGGCTAAGAAATAGAGTGGTGGATCAGTGGAATAGATTAAGCAAACAACATATAGTACTAAGTGACCATAGTAACCTGGTATTTGAGAAACCCAAAGGTCCAAAATTTTGCGATAAGAACTCACTATTTGACAAAAATTGCTTAGAAAACTAGAAAGCAGTTTGGTAGAAACTAAGTATAGACTAACATCTCACAATGTATACCAAAATAAAATCAAAATGGGTACATGAATTAGACATAAAGAGTGATATCACAAGCAAATCGGGGAAGCATGGAAAATTTTAGCTGTCAGATGAGTAAAGGAAAAATTTATAACCAAACAAGAGACAAAGGGGATCATGGGATTTGAAATGGATAACTCTGATTACATGAAATCTAAAAGGGTTTGCACAAATGAAACCAATGCAGCTAAAATTAGAAGGAAATCAGAAAACTGGGGAGAAAATTTTTACAGCAATTTTCTCTAATAAAGGCCTCATTTCTCAAATATATAGAAAACTAAATCATATTTATAAGAATACAAGTCATTCCCCAATTGATAAATGGTCAAAGGATATGAACAGGCAGTTTTCAGAAGAAGAAATCAAAACTATCTATAGGCATATGAAAAAATGCTCTAAATTACTGTTGATTTAAGAAATGCAAATTGATACAACCATAAGATGCCACCTCACACCTATCAGACTGGCTAAGATGACAGAAAAAGGAAATCACAAAAGTTGGAGAGGATGTGGAAAAATTGGGAGATTAAGGCACTGTTAGTGAAGTTGTGTACTAGTCCAATCATTCTGGAGATCAATTTGGAACTAGGCAGAAAGGGCTATAACATCGTACAGATCTTTTGACATATATATATAAAAGATATATAGTAGCTCTTTTTGTGGTGGTAAGAATTGGAAATTAAGGGGATACCCATTGATTGAGGAGTGGTTGAACAAGTTGTGGTATATGATTGTGATGG